ACTGAAACAATTACGCATTCTATTCCTACCACAGATGATATTCCTATCAATGTTAGACCCTATCGTCTGCCGTATCACCAACAGGAAGAAGACAAACGTCAAATTGACAAAATGCTCAAAGATGATATAATTTCTGAATCCTCGTCTGCTTATAATTCTCCTTTATTGGTTGCACCCAAGAAACCTGATATTCATGGTAATCGTAAATGGCGCGTAGTCGTAGATTTTCGTAAACTTAACGACAAAACCCTTTCTGAAGTTTTTCCGTTGCCCAATATAACAGAAATTTTGGATCAGCTCGGAAACTCTAAATTTTTCTCTACACTCGATCTGGCTTCTGGTTATCATCAGGTCCGTGCCGACCCAAAAGACAAACACAAAACTGCTTTTAGTACGTCTAATAATCATTACGAGTTCAATCGTATGCCCTTTGGTCTAAAAGGAGCCCCCTTTACATTTACAAAATTAATGAACAGTGTCTTGCTAGGATTTCAAGGAATTAAGTGTTTTGTGTACCTTGATGATGTAATTATATATGGTAAAACTCTCGAGGATCACAACTCCAAACTCAAGGATGTTTTCAATAGGTTTCGCCTTCATAACCTTCAATTGCAGCCAGAAAAATGCGAATTTCTTCGCCCTGAGCTTACATATTTGGGTCATACAATAACTGCCGATGGTATCAAACCGGATGAAAATAAAATTAAAGCCATTAAAGAATTTCCTACTCCTAAATCTCCAACTGAAATCAAACAGTTCATGGGGTTAGCTGGTTACTATAGAAGACACATACAAAACTTTGCAAAAATTGCCCAACCCATGAATAATTTGCTCAAGAAAAACATTTCTTTCCATTGGTCTCCTCTTTGTGTAGAATCTTTCGAAACTCTCAAGGAAAAACTGTGTAATCCTCCGGTCCTGCAGTACCCCGATTTTTCGAAGGAATTTATTCTCACTTGTGATGCAAGCAATTTTTCTGTAGGAGCAGTACTTTCACAAGGGACAGTTGGCTCAAGCCGTCTCATTGCTTTCGCATCCCGGACATTGAATAAAGCAGAGCGAAACTATAGTGTCATTGAAAAAGAACTATTAGCCATAACCTGTGGGGTCGTATTTTCGAAACCATGCGAATTATTTCGCATGCGAAATAATTCGCATGAAAAAAATCGTGTACGAACTAAAATGCGTATTTTTGAAGGCCCTTCGAAAATGATATCGTATACGAGTATCATTTGCCTTGGCAACGTCGCAAATTCGAGTATTTGGTAATGGCCATTTCGACAGATACAAAAACGAAGAAGAATTTTTCGACATTTGACTTTTGTTGTTGAGAGATTATCAAAGATGCTGTCAAATTTAAATTAAAATGTCTGCCAAGGGGTACACAAACCCTTTGTTTATGTGTTATCAAATGGTGTTATGAATTTTTTGTGTTCCTCCTGCCGGCCCTATTTTGCTTGCCAAAGTTACGTGTTTTGGATAGGCTAATTCTTTTTTGTATTTTGTGGCTGTTTATTGAGTTTATCCATTGAGTTTATCAAGTATTAGAGTCTATTCTGCTGGTAAAGATCTTGCTGAAATAAATTTTGTGCACCTAATCGTTGGGATTTCCTTGAACGTCCTTGTTTTTCATAACGTTAACGAACAATCATGGTTTTTGGAGGGCTTGTGTAAGCAGAGCAAAAGAAATGTTTGATTAGCTTCACGGGGGAGCATCCAGAACAAAAAATGAGGAAAATTCAGCTTCCAGGTGCTAAAAAAAATTAGAAACATTAACGCAAAGTAAGCAGATCAACCAAAGTTCTTCGAGGCCATCAATAACATTTCTTTCGATCAAATAAACCAAGCCAGCCATTCCAAATATTTTTTAATTAAGCAGGAAAATTTAATCCGCAAATCATTTGGAAACGTTCGAAAGTGATTCGAAAATACGGAACCTTAATTTTCATGCGAATTTCGCCTTAATTCGCATACGAACGGCATTCGAATGGTTTCGAAAATACGACCCCTGGGGAGTCAAGCATTACAGAGCCTATCTATATGGCCGTAAATTTTTGATTGTCACCGATCATAAACCTTTAATATGGTTATTTTCCGTGAAAGACCCAGGAAGTAGGTTAATGAAATTTCGTCTTAAACTCGAAGAATACGAGTACGAAATAATCCATAAGCCCGGCAAATATAATACAAATGCCGATGCATTAAGTCGAATCGTATAGGACGTGAATCCAGTAAGCACACGAAACAAAAATTACGATCTTAATCAATTAACCTTTGAAAACTTTCTCATAGAAAAGGAGTCCTCCATAATCATTAATAATAATATAAAAGATTCACACAAAAATATTTCTGATTCCAACCCTGAATATTTGCGTGCCTATTTCATAAGTAAAGACAATTTGCAACTTTCCGATGACCTTAACGACGAAGCAAAATGCAAGTTGCAATCGGACACCTTAATCGTTTTAACACCGATTCTTATTACAATAAATAACATTAATTATGTTTTTATTCCAACGCATGAACCTAATACTATTGTAACGAATGAAATAATTTTCGAAGCAATTAAATGTTTGAAATCTTTTGCACATACAGGTAATTACCATAAAATAGCCTTTTCTAATCCTACGAAATATTCTCCGTATAAAAGTTTACAAATCGAAAACATTCGCATTATGTTTAGATATATATTTCGTGGTAATTCAGATTTGGTAGAAATTCATCATAATAATCTAATGAAAATTAAATCTAAGGATGAAATTCGTAAAATCCTAAAAGAATTCCATGATTCTCCACTGGGAGGTCATTTAGGTGTCAATAAGACCTTTAATAGAATAAGAAGTAAGTATAAATGGTCCAATCAATATAAAAGTTTTAAAAATTTTGTAAAATCTTGCGATTTATGCCAAAGGAATAAATCATCAAAATACACAAAGATGCCATTAATTGTCACCACTACAGCCTCCATAACTTTTGAAAAAGTAAGCCTTGATATCGTGGGACCTCTGTCCGTAACAAATTCCCGAAGCAAATATATTCTAACATTTCAAGATGAACTAACAAAATTTTGTGAAGCTGTACCTCTTGAAAATCAAGAAGCCGAAACCATTGCAGAAAAATTCGTTTCACACATCATTTGTAGACACGGTACTCCAACTTATCTTTTAACGGATCAAGGTCAAAACTTTTTAAGCGAATTATTTAAAAATGTCTGTAAATTATTGAAAATTACAAAAATTCAAACGACCGCTTTCAGACCTCAAAGCAATGGCAGTCTTGAAAGGTCACATAAAAGTCTAGGCGAATATTTACGAAATTTCATCACAAAGGATCAATTAGATTGGGATACATGGATCCCTTATGCAATTTTTACTTATAATACTTCCATTCATTCCGCCACAAACTTTACTCCTTTTGAACTTCTTTATGGGTTCCCTGCGGAAATTCCTAATTCTTTACAAAAGCCTCCTGAATTAAACTACAACTATGACGATTATGCGAACGAGCTAAAAAGTCGCTTGCAACATAGTTATGAATTGGCTAAACAAAATCTTATCAATTCTAAAGAAAAATCAAAAACCACTTATGACCAAACTATTAATCCAGTCACTTTTAAGGAGGGTGAGATGGTATTACTTAAAAACCAATCAAACGCAAAAGGGAAATGTAAAAAACTAGAACCAATTTGGAATGGCCCCTATAAAGTAATTAAAGCAAATTCAGAAATAAATTCAACAATTTTAGTCAAAAATAAACATCAAAAGGTTCATAATAACCGATTAAAATTATATAACTCAAGGTAGTCATTTTATTCTTGTTTCAGATGAAAGCCTTACTAGCAATTCTTTCCATTTCATTTGCATGTATACTGGGCGATACAAAAACGAAATTTTTCACCTTGCAGGCAGTCAACAGAAGTGCTGGTATCTTGTACGAATCTTTTGATACAGTTCATTTAGAAACTAGTTCATGGAAGTTGATTAATTCTATAGATTTAGAAAATTATTATGACCTCTACGATAATTTTATTTTTAGTAATAAAAAAATGGTAGAACTTTGCGATTTGAGAGATTCTCAAAAGGAATATTTAAAACCTTGCATTATGGCAAAGAGCCTATTTAATCGGATAAGTCGTGTTCTTCACCGTGTTCAAGATAATAACAGTATAATTGGAGAAATTATAAATAGCCAGCAATTTTTAAATCGAACCAAACGAGGTTTAGTCAATGCCGTAGGCAATGTTTTTTTTTTTTTTTTTTTTTTACGGATATGCGCACTCGCAAGGAAATGTCATATCACGCTCGAGAAGCGGCAAGTGCGCGGAAATGTCGGTGTATGTTGGTCTTGAAACGGTTCAGGTTGTAACCTGCAGGGAAAACCGTCGCAGGGAGTTTATTCCACAGCGATGCTGTTCTCCAGAGATATGAATTCTGATATAATGAGGTTCTTGGTGCCTCTAGTTTGACAGTAAATTCATGGTTACCGTCTGTTTGACGGGTTCGCCTGGTAGGCGCTACTCTCGGTGGAATCATACGTGCCAACTCTTCAGAGCATTTTCCGTGATAGTACCTGTAGAAGAGAGATAAATCACCCACAGATCTGCGATGTTCGAGACCATCCAAGTTACGAGTAATGTTGCAAAGGTTTTGTTTGGAACCTTAGATGAAAATGATGCTAAACATTTCAATGAAATTCTCCAAAAACTGGAAACAAATCAGATAAATATGCAACACATACTGTCAGAACAAACAAGTATTTTTGAAAATACCATTATATCTCTCAACTCATCAAATCAAGCAAATAAACAAATTTTTGAAAATTTAAACGGAAAAGTCAATCAAATTGAAACTTTCATCAATAATCACATAAAAGGTGTTATTGATAATATCACTTCATATGAAAATTTCGCATTACAGTTCTCTGAGTATTTTTCTCTATTCGAACTGGTCTCCGAACAGTTCCAGTTTTACCAAAGTGATCTATTAAACATAATTTTGTAGGCTCAAAATGGTATTTTACATCCTTTAGTCCTAAGTCCAAAAAGGCTCATAAACCATTTAGTTAAGCAAAGCATGTATTTACCAAAAGGGTTATCATTTCCTGTACCTCTTTATCATCATTATTCTCATGACCTGTATAAAACAATGCATCCAAATGTGTTTTACTCAAATTATAAATTGTACTTTATTTTATACATACCCCTTGTAAGTGATATTTCGTACAATATCGTTAAGATGATAAGTTTACCTATAAAAGTGAATAATGATAAACTTTCTCATATATTCTCATTTATTTCATCAGAACACCATTACTTAGTAATATATAGTCTTAAGCGAAACTATTTTTTTCTTGATAACAATGATTTGAAAGATTGTTCAAGAATAGATAATAAGTACGTTTGTAAAGAAAAATATCCCTTGTTCCTTTTACCAATACATAATGATTGTGAGGCACTGTTGTACACTCATCCTCAGAAAATTCCTGAGTCTTGTGAAAAACGAGTTAGTGCCATTCATAAAACAATTTTTATCAAAATTCTGAAAAAAAATTCTTGGATTTTTGTTAGTCCAAACGATGAAACTCTCACAATAAAGTGTCAAAATTTTGAAGACTCTATTCGTTTAAACATTTCAGGCATTTTAGAACTTGCACCGCACTGTATCGCTTTTACAAGTTCTGTCACGCTAAAGCCAATTGATACCAAAGAAGCAAATGAATCATTCATAAACACAAATTATTTTCAAAATCTTGACATTAAAAATGAAATCAATAATCAAGATCTTCGTTTCAGTTTCATGGAAACTTTGTCTTTGAATAAAAGTATTTTAGTACTTCCTGATCAAAATGAAAAATTAGAAAAAATTAGTTATTCCATCGATGTATTAAAAGCAAAGGAACAAAAGATGTTAAACCAAAAATCTATTGATTTTAACCATATTCATCATTATATTCTAGTATATTTAGTAGTGTTTTTAATTGTAAGTTACGTAGGTTTTAAGAAATATAAAACAATGTACGTTAATCAAGATAAAAGGAACTGTGAAACTCCAAGTGCAACCGCTGAAAGCATCTGTTTAACAACGCGAGTGCCGCGAATAGACAGAACCGCTGACGTCCAGTTTAACGAAATAGCTGATAGTAATTCCAAAGTTTGTAATTCTAATCTTGGTGAAATTCGTAACCCCAGTTACAAATTTCATTCTTAGGAGGGACGGATGTTGTAAAGTCAATATCAATTATCGTTGATTGTCCTTTACTTAGTTTAAGCCTTCATTTTAAGTCATAATTCTATTTAAACATAAAACATTGTAATACATTTTATGCAACCTATTATATTCTATTTTCTAGTAAATGCTGAATGCTGAAGCAGCAAACCGTGGTTGCCACCTAAAAGTAGGTTACTTTATAATTTGAAACCATCATTTTGTCACGTGATTAGGTTGGCAACAAAACTGTTTGTCGCTAAGCAAGCAGCAGTAGTAGTAATGTTAATTTCCACATAACCATGTATTAATTTCTGCTACTCACGTCACACAATATACGCACAGTGGCTTCAGTATATTAATTTTCTCAACCAATTAAGTAATAAATTCTAGTAGTGATCTAAGGATTTAACTTGTTTTTTTTCTTGTTTACGCCGGATACGACCCAGAATCTTCTTCGCAAACCTCAAGTTTCAAAGTTGTGGAAACTCCACAACAACGGAAACGGATATGCTTTCCTAGGCAGGCATATCCATTGCAGTCTCGATAAAATGTAAAAGTACAGAAATATAACACACAAGATTTTGAAAAGTTTGTAAGGTCAATATGACATATACAGTTGAAAATAAATTATATTTTATGTTCTCCTGTATTTAATAATTGTTAACCAGTTTCATCTCGATGTCAAGTTTCAGTTTTGTCATCATCTTGTCAAATAAGAACAATAAATTGTCTTATCAAAGTATAATTTATCGTTACATTATAGTTATTAATGATACTAGTTAGATATGAACACTATAATGAAACGCATGTAACGTTAAACCACTAGTTACACAAGTACACATACTATTCGGCGAACGTGCTTATTAATTCTTGAAATTTTGACATTGACAGCTTCAATATTCGAGTCCATTTTTGTGGTACAAATTCAGTTTTATAGTGGAAAATAATTATTAATATGGGTGATTCTGAGTCCGAAAGTGTCTTTTCGGATATCGAACAGCATCAATGCATAGGTTTTTCTGGTAACTAACCTTCCTTTTGTATATTTTTTATTCTATAATTTAGGTGTTATTATAAATTCTCCTAATCACACTAGTGCTATTATGAAGTACCTAATGACATTCAAATGACAATGCTAAATGTGTCATGATGACACCGGCCGAATCTTGAGCTTTGAATGCTCTTAGGAATAGTATATTACAATCCGAGACGGAAAATACTTCATTGCTGGTCGAGAGGTTATTATAGTTTATCGAGACGCGAAGCGTCGAGATAAACTCAACCTCGAGACAGAAATGAAGTTTTCCGTCGAGGTTTGTATACTTTTTTATTTTCAACCCTTAATTTTCTGATGCAAAAACTAAAGATTCTGTTATACGAAATTTTCATATAGTGTAAAACTGGCCTTAGAAAAAAATATTTCACTTTTTTTGTCAATGTCATCAATTTTGACGATCTCAAAGGCCCTGTAAAGGCCAAAACAAAAGACGAAACCACAGGAAACCGCAAAATCAACAACCATAGATAAGATCAACAACGCCTTAACGACGGTAGTTTTCGCTCAGTATTTTTGCGGAAATAATAGATTTTCACTAGATTTCTCCCCGTTCTCCCCAAAGAAATGATTTCGGAAAGTGAAGATGAAGCGATGGATTGTACCCCACCTGAATTAAAAGAAGCAGCAGACAGGATTGGAGAGAGTTTGCTTCCAGCAAAAAGCAAATTTCGGTACGAAAAGGCTTTTCAAATATTCGAAGCATGGTGTAGCCAGAAAGGAACGAGAAATACTGCCTCGGAGACCGTTTTGTTGGCGTATTTTGGCGAATTATCTAAGGAAAAGAAGCCTTCGACTTTATGGTCGACTTACAGTATGTTGAAAACCATGATTAAATTGAAAGAGAAAGTTGATATCTCCAATTACGCAAAACTTATAGCTTTTTTGAAGCGGCAAAATCTGGGCTTTCAGCCGAAAAAGTCGAGCGTTTTTTCCAGAGAAAACATTAACGAGTTCCTCACGAAGGCAGCTGAAGAATTCATTAGCATCAAGGTAGGTTTTCAAAAAATATACAAAGAAGATAAAAATGCGAAAATCAAAATGATTTTCTGTATGCTATAGCTAGGTTACCCATTTTATTTTTATCTGGTTTCAGGTAGCGCTAATTGTTGGTGTGTCGGGTGCATGTAGGAGCGATGAACTAGTCAAGATGAAAATGGAGCACGTCAACGTTTTGGAAGGAAAGATCGCTATAGAAATTCCACACACAAAAACTTACACAAGTCGATCGTTTATCATAAGCGATCCAGATTGGGTTGCTATTTTCCACAAATACCTCACTTTGCGGAAAAATTTGAAAAATGACAGGTTATTTGTTCAATGGCGAAATGGGAAATTACATAACCAAGCAATTGGCTATCATTCAATCTCAAAATTTCCACATAAAATAGCTGCTTTTTTGAAGCTTCCAAAAATTGAAACTTTTACAGGGCATGCTTTTCGTCGTACTTCCGCAACCTTATTGGTTGACAACGGGGCCGATCTATTGCAACTCAAAAGACTGGGAGGGTGGAAATCGAGCACGGTTGCTGAAGGCTACATAGAGGCATCTTTGGAGAACAAAAGTAAGACTGCTCTGATGCTATCCTCTACTTCCAAAGGTATTCAGTTGTCCAGTGCATCCACAAGTACATCACATGCGGAAACTCATCCGCAAGCGCAAGAGATAATAGTTCCAAACGAAACACAATTCCAACAGGATGGTCTCAAGATTTCCATTATAAACAACAATGCTAATTTAACAATTAATGTAAATAAGTGAATAGATTTAATTAGTTCCATGTAATACATGTGGTTTTATTATTATATGTGAGAGCTGTATGAAAATTATCAATTTGGAACGAGCAGGGAAATGGGGACGGAAAAGCATTTGCCGTCCCGGACGGAAAATGCTTTTCCGTCCTAGGCAGGCATATGCATTACCGTCCCGATAAATGTCAAAGTCCAGAAATGTGACACTTTCAAGATTTTGAAAAACCTGCAATGTCAACATTACATATGTGGTTGAAAATAAAATTCTTTTGCGAATCCAGAGTTGATAAAAGTTCAAATTTAGACTATTATCGACACTTGAATAGCTCCAGGAAGGTTTTCTAGAGAATCAAGAGCCAGGAATAGTTCAAATTTTGATTATCTCCTCTATCCATTGGATAATTTTTTTGGAGCAACTAAATACCGAATATCCATATTGGATGTTGTGCTATGTCTGATAGACAAAATAGAAAGATCATTCAGTCTATTCTGACTTTTCTCAAGTAATTTTTCAATATTTTTAAGTTACTAAACGATCTTTCAGCGGTGGCAACTGGAAAGAATGTACCAGGTAAGTATATCGATCCATATTGGTCATTATATTTCTCAATTTTATTTTTAAGCATTTAAAAAAAAATATATTTGTGTTTAAAGGGGGCCCTTGGGGTCCCCTTCGTTTCCGGGCCTCCAAGCATCGCTAATGCATATCGCCGCCTCTGACTCCGAGCCACAATGTCTCCAGAAATGGTGCTCGATCCTTGGATCAGGAATTTGAGGAATTCTTGAGACCTCAATATTCATGTACAAGAAAAAGAACCCAAGTACAAATTAAAAATATTATAAGCCTTGAATATCCATCAGTCCATGCAATCAATAATAGTATGAGCCCTCAATATACATGCATCGTACAAAATTCCCAACATTCAATAATAATATTGAAATAATAGAAAATGATATCGGGAAGCTGGAGAATGAAGGTATGGAACCAGAAGCTCTACGATTAGCAGAAAAATATTTTTTAATAGATAATAGAAGAAATAAGAAAAAAATATTGGAAATGTATAGGCATTGAAAAAATGAGCAAGTCTGCTAGTACTCGAGACACTGAGGTGTAAATATCTCGTAAGCGGTAACCATGTTTTTTATTCATTAAAATTCAATACTTTAATAATACCGCACAGTATAGCGCATTTAGAGTAAAATGCTTCAATAATACTACTGGCAGCTTTTAATCGGAGTATATTATTTCACTGCACAAATTTACATCGATCTACTATATTGAAATCGCCGACATGAAAATCTAATGCCACCTTAGATTGCAAGCGCTGAGGTAGCTGTGCAATATTTACTGCGCATGGGTTATGATGTCACATCCATTTCCATCCCATTTCCCAAGATTTACCCCCATACCAACGACAAAGATGTTTACACATCGAAAACTGATGTACTGTAATCAACAGATATGGCTGTCATAACCTGTTAAGTTGTAAAAAATCACTGGAATGTGATACGGGTTTTGAAAATTCAAGTTGCAGATACTGTGAGCTGGCTCCTGAATCTATCAGTCAAATGATCACGATCCCCTAGTTTTTCATCAGACTTTTCTTCATGTGTTAGTGGGATCATTGGTACCTACTACATGTTTTAAATAACCCTTGTAAATTCTATGAGCATGAGCTTCAATTCATTAACAAAATTCACATCTATTCACCAAAACTACAAATAATGTTGGTAAAGTTTTCTTAAAATCTGAATGAATTGTGGTCTGTCTCAACGGATTCTAAATCCGCCTAATAAACCATAACAATAAGACAAAATTCTAATGTACTCGACGAAATAAAAATACTCTCTTAAATTAATAAAATAAACTGAAAGAATCCATCCAAGTCTTAAATGGGAAACAGTCATCAAGTGGCAATTTCTCAACGAACCTCGACGCCTCGCCTTGCGGTTGCAAGACTGGTGACGGTGTCGTAAATCCTTGAAGTTTTAAGAAGAAAGAAAAATAAAACCTAATAAAAGGACTTCCAGGCAATATTTTCACTTAATCGGCTGAAACAATAGGAAAAGGAACGGAAAAAACGGCTTTTTTACTTCTCGTTGACCCACTTTTACCTGTCGACAGT